TCAAAAAACCAAAAAAAAAAAAAAAAAAAAAGACCTTCAGTGTGGTTTATCTGACCTTGTTTACACTTCATGCTCCAGATGTGAATGAGTGCAAGACGTTCCCTGGCCTATGCACACATGGCACCTGCCACAATTCTATGAGCAGCTTCCACTGCTCCTGTGACAAAGGCTTTACCCTGGATGCCCAAGAGAGGAACTGCACAGGTAGGTGCCACTCCCCATCTACTGAGCCAGGTCATGCATACAGGAATTTATGGGAGAGGTCTCTGAATTGGATGTAAAGACAAGGCTTAGTCTTTAGTCTCCTCTTAGCATACTTATCTATGAGCTGTGTGACCTAAGACAGCTTATCACCCTATCTGGGCTGCAGGAATCTCTACTGTCTCTATGGAAAGCTGACCAAGATTATCTTTGAAAGGAAATTTCTTGCCCTTTTTATTGTGTTCACCTGAGGCACTTCTCCTTCCCAGACTCGGCTCAGTTTCTTGAGGCTTCTGTGTAGCTCCTCATATCTACAGAGACCCAGCCTCATATGTCCTCTTGCTTGAAATCCCTGGCCCTGTGCGTTCTCATGTTTGCATACACAGATCTCTGGCCCATACATCTCTGTCCCCACAGACATTGATGAATGTCGTATCTCCCCTGACATCTGCGGCCAGGGTACCTGCATCAATACCCCGGGCAGCTTTGAGTGTGACTGTTTTCCTGGCTTTACTAGTGGCTCTTTGCTGATGAAGAACTGCATGGGTGAGTGGTGGCAGGCGAGGGGATGGTGGAGAGCCGTGGGCAGGGTGGACAGCCAGAAGAGGGATGGTGAGCATGCTGCTGGATAGATATAAGAAGTTGCAGTGGGCCATTGAATTGCCATGGGATACTATCATTATGAGAGCATATTGAGAACAGGTGCCTTGTGGAGAAAAGGATGGGACTGCCCCCAGAGAGTCCATTTACAAAGACTCTAGCTTGGGCATGATGGCATAGACTTATAATTCCATCCCTCTGGAGGCTAGGGCAGGAGGATTGCCAATTCTAGGCCAACCTGAGCTACAAAACAAGACCCTTTCTCCAAAATAAAAGAGGCTCCCATTAATCACTTTGTTATTTACCAACAAACATGTCACACTCATCCACTGGACTGATGTGATGCAGAGAGAGAGCTTAAGCACAGGGGGCTTCGTGGGAAGACAAATGAAGTTGGTCTTGGAGAGTTAAAAAAGGTACAAAGTTGGGTGAAGCCATGAAGGGGGTTGTAACTGGGAGTGAGAGTAGGGTAAGATCAAAGTGCCTTCAAACTCTCAGAGAAGTAGTTTAAAAACATTTCCTAAGAAAGCAAAATGACTATGTGGTCTGATGGGGTAGACAGAACTGAGAAGTGGCTGAGAGGTAGGGGTGAGTGAGATGGCTCAGTGAGCAAGAGTTCATGAGGCCAAGCATAACACACTGAGTTTTAGCTCTGGAATCCAATCAATCACACAAGAAGAGGAACTGCCACAGCTGTCCACTGTGACCTCCACAGACATGCCACAGTAGCCGGGGGAACAGCATATGTGAAGGATCTGGGGTGCACCTAAGGGTTGTAAGGAAATTCTGAGATAACGTGGAGGCCAGAAGGACACATGCAAAGGACACCCTGGGATGGGTGAGAGAGGCCAGAAGGATACGGATGGATGGAATGCAAATCGGGTAGTGATAAAGGAGGTACCACTCAGAGAACCTCCCCAAGCCACCGCATGCTCGGGTCAGCATCAGCCTGCTGTCTTTCCACATGTCCAGATGTAGATGAGTGTGCTAGCGACCCGCTGCTCTGCCAGGAAGGCACCTGCATCAATACAGAAGGGAGCTATGAATGCCACTGTCCCCCTGGCCGTGAGCTGAAGTCCCAAGGCACTGCCTGTGAAGGTGAGCTTGCAGAAAGTTGTGAAAGAGTGGCGGGGTCTGGCACATGCTCACATCCGTGTGTCTCTCCAAATGTACAGTGTAAATGTGAGGCGGTGAAGTGCATTTGCGTGTCTCCAAAGATGAACCTGTGTGTGTGTGTGTGTGTGTGTGTGTGTGTGTGTGTGTGTGTGTGTTTGTGTGTGTGTTTGCATCCACAAGATTGTATGTGTCTGGGGTGGGGGTGTATTTGTGTCTCTGTGTGTGCAAGAAAGGCAGGTGGTTAATACTGTCTACCTGACAGGATCTAGAATCACCTAGGAGACAGCTTTGGCATGTCTGTGAGGGAATTCAAGTTCCTAGGTTAGGTTGATTGAGGTGGGATGACCCAATCTGCAAGCAGGTGACATCATCTCATGGACTGGGGTTCTGACCTGAATAAAAAGGAGAAAGGGAGCTAAGCACCAGAAGTCATCTTGCTCGGTCTTCCAGGTGCATGTGGTATGACCAGCTGCCTTACGTTCCTATGACCATGACTGCCCTGCCATGGTGGACTGTATCCAACTGTGAGCCTAAATGAATGCTCCTCCCTTGAGTTGCTTTTGTGAAACATTTTGTCACAGGAATGAAGACGGTAACAAATACAAATTGGAAGTGTATCTATGAACACATCCATGTGAATATCAATGAGGCTCTAGCTGTGCAAAAGCAAGTGTGTTTGTCAATCTGTGTGTGGGTGTGTGTGAGTGAAAAGTCATCCAGATGGAGCTGGAGAGATCCAAAGAGCTAGCTTGAAGATCATTCGCACTGAATCCATGCCTTAGGACAGAAGGCAACCAGAGTTCATTCTTACAGCTTCCACTAATGAGCTCTCTTAACAATAAAGCCCCCTTGGGAGCCTCTTAAATAGTTCAATAGAGGGAACCCCAAAGGAGAGAGCAGCATTCCCAAAACAAGCAAGCCAGATGCTTTTTGCATGGTACAGGGATTAACATTTAAACATCTCGCTAGTTAGAGAATTCATGTCTCAGATTAAACACAAATCAGCAGATACCTGGTGACTGAGAGCCCCGGGATATATTCCCTATCCAAAATGGCAGCTAGGAGTCTGGAATCTAGGCATGGGCAGGGTTAGTTCCTTCTTGTTACAGAGAGAGAATCTGCCCTAGGCATCCCTCCAACTTCTGACTGTTGTTGGTCATTTGCAGTGGAATTTGATTCATAGGAACATTACACCCTTTTCTGCCTTTGTATTTGCCTGGTGTTCTTCTCTGTCTATCTCTGCCCAAATTCCTCTCTTAGAAAAGAAACCATTAGATCAGGATGCAAACCAATCCATGATAACACTGTGACTTTGTGATATCTACAAAGATCATTTTTAACTAAGGTCACACTAATAGATGTGGGAGATCATAATTCTCTCTCTCTGTCTCTCTCTGTCTCTCTCTGTCTCTCTCTCTCTCTTCTCTCTCTCTCTCTCTGTGTGTGTGTGTGTGTGTGTGTGTGTGTGTGTGTGTGTGTGTGTGTGATATGTATGTTGTATCTCCATGCACTCAAGTGTGTTTTTGTGGGAAGTGGGTACATGTTCAAGTAGTACCTTGAGAGGATCAGGTGCTTATAGAGACCTTGTGTCATTCCTCATATCTACCCTACTTTTTTGAGTCAGGGTCTGTCACTGAACTATAGGCAGAACAATTAGGCTAGCCTGGCGGGCCAGAGAGTGTGTAAAAATTCTATCTGTGCTTCTCCAGAAGTAAGATTACAAGCATACACCACCATACTTGACTTTTTATATGGGTGCTAGAGATTAAACTAAGGTCCTTAAGTTTATATAGCGAGCACAACTGAACTGTCTTGCCAGCCACACAATCCTTCCAGAATTGTGTTTACTTATGTATGTATGTGTGTGCATGTGTGCATGTATGTATGTATGTATGCATTTTGAAGCACTGGGGATCAAACCCAGGACCTTTCTCATGCTAGGCACACACTCTACCACTGAGCTGCACATCTAGTCAAACTCCATTACTTCCTTAAAGTTATTAGTGTTGGTATAAAATTTTACTTTGAAATACACTTATAATCAAGCATAGTGGCTCACATCTGTCACCCCTGTACTCAGGATATTGAGGCAGCAAGATCTCAAGTTCCAGGCCTATTGTACATAGTGAGACCATGTCTCAAAACAGCACAATAAAGGGCTGGGTATGGCTCAGTGCTAGAGACCCTTCCTAGAGTGTGCAAATCCCTGAATTCAATGGCCAGGCTCTATGAAGACAGACAGACAGACAGACAGACAGACAGACAGACAGACAGACATGGATGGAATATATAACTTTTAGAAAATTTGATGGATGAAAGATGATAGATAAAAGAAAGATATCTTTAAAATAGATGGATAGATGATAGCTAATTTTAGAAAAATGAATTGATGAATGGATAAAAATAAAATATATTCATGCAAGTCATGAGGAACTATATAAAAAATGTTTATTTAGTAAACAGTGGCTCACACAGGTAGCATATGTCCACTGCAGTGTTGATAAGAGTACTTCAAAAATAGAGCCGGGTGGTGGTGGTGCACGCCTTTAATCCCAGCACTCGGGAGGCAGAGGCAGACGGATCTCTGTGAGTTTGAGACCAGCCTGGTCTACAAGAGCTAGTTCTAGGACAGCCTCCAAAGCCACAGAGAAACTCAGTTTTAAAAAAAAAAAAAAAAAGAGTACTTCAAAAATGATTCAAAGTTGGACAACCTGATATAATAGGAATCCTGCTTTGCTGATTGTTGGATAATTGCACTTAATGTCTACCATAAGTCTCTCATGCTGCCTGACACTTCTGAGGGCCACTAAGAGTCAGGTCTGGTGGGCTTGAGGCTTCTTTCTTGGGCTATAGAGGAAAATGGAAGGTCCCTGGGGAGACCACTCTTCCATCATCTTTCTGTTGCTGCTTCTCTGAGTCTTCCCTTCTGTGACTGCTTCCCACCACTGCCCCCTCTCCCTCAGATGTGAATGAGTGTGAGTTTAGAAGTCACAATTGTGACAGGCACGCCTCCTGTTTCAACATCCCTGGGAGCTTCAGCTGTAGTTGCCACCCGGGCTGGCTTGGGGATGGCTTCAAATGCCACGGTGAGTACCTAGGGACAGGATTAAGGGTGGGGACCATGTAGGGCTGGGACTGGAGAGTCAGCCTGCCCACAGTCCCAGTGCACATACCAGGGGACCCCGGCTCTATCTGCTGCAGACCTGGATGAATGTGCCATCCAACAGCCTCACTGTGGCCCAAAAGCTGACTGTCTCAATACCCTGGGCTCTTACCACTGCACCTGCCAACCAGGATTTGTTGGAGATGGCTTATTCTGTGAAGGTGAGGTGGAGGGCAGGGCCTGAATGGGACAACCATAATGCTAGGGTTGTTCTCTCCTGCCCCATGGGTACTAGAGAGTCTATGCCCTTAGCCCACAGAGCCACTCCTATCCTCTCTTTTAGTTACCATCTTCTTCCTGTTGATTTATTATTATTATTATTACTATAACTATTACTATTATTACACTGTGTGTGTGTGTGCAAATTTACAAATTTGTGGGAGGATGCACTCATGTACAGGGACACACATATGTGAGTATGTGTGGAGGCTAGATGTTAACTTCAAGTGTTCTTCCTCAGGAGTCATCTACCTTGGGTTGGTGGTGGGTTATGGGTTTTCATTTGGTTGGTTTGTTGGTTGGTTTGGTTTAGTTTATATTTTGTTTTGCTTTGCTTTGAAACGTTTTTTTTTCTGGTTGGGACCCCCAGGACTTGCCAATTAAGCTATGCTGGCTGGCCAGGGATCCCCTGGGATTCAGGGGTCTCCATCTCCCCAGAATGGATTACACATTTGTGCCACCACACCTGGCTTTTTCACCTGGTTACTGGGGGGGGTCATGCTCTGATTCTTACATTAGTGTGGCACACACTTTACCAGCTGAGCTATTCCCCCAGCCTTTTGACCCCCGGTCCTTCCATTGCTCGTTTTCCCTTATATCTATACCCCTATAGTCAATCTAATCTTCTTCTTACTTCCTTGGCTGTGACTAAGTCCTGTCCATGTGCATCCAGCTGGACTGGTTATCTCCGTCTTGGTTATCTGCCTATTCTGAATTAGCATCTGAGTTCCCAGGACTCCCACTTGGGATTCTGGATGAGAGTAAATGTTTAAATCCCTGGCACTTCCCATCCAGTGTGGGTCTAACCCAGCTGGTCCCCAGCCCTGTGTTCTTCATGGTCCCTCAGACAAGGATGAATGCATGGAGAATGTGGGGCTCTGCAAGAATGGACAGTGCCTCAATGTACCTGGCGGGTACCACTGTGAGTGTGATATGGGAGAACCCCACCAAGAACCAGCTGGCCTGCTGGGTTTAAGTCTCAGTCTAGCCCTGTCCAGGCGGAGGTACAGAGTGGCAAGTTTCCAGAACGTACTATCAAGCATGGTAGACTGAGCTGAGGTCTCCGCAGATGTGGACGAGTGTGCTGTTGGGAACTTGTGCATGTTTGGGAACTGTGAAAACTTGCCTGGAACGTTCCGCTGCAGCTGTGATGATGGCTATGAGCTGGACCAAGGTGGGAGCAACTGCACAGGTATGGAGCCACCCTGGCGGGGAACGAAGAGCATAGGACTGAGAGTACGGGGACACAGCTTGCTCCCACAATACACTCACCCTGACTTCTCTTCTAGAATAGTTTCCATCACTCCCTTTTCCATATATGCATGTACTTGGGGGTATGCACATGTCTATGTGTGTGGTGAATACGCATGTGAGGCCAGAGGAGGATGTCAAGCATCCTTCTCTATCACGCTCCACATTGGCTCCTTGAGACAGGGTCTGTAGCTGAACCTGGGGCACAGCTGGCAGCCAGAAAGCTAGAGCAATCCTCCTGTCTCCATGATTAACCCTAGTGTTACAGGAGAGCACTCAAGCTTTTTACATTGAACCCAGGTCCTGTACTTACACAGCAGGTGTTCTCACCCAGTGAGGCAATTTCTTCAGCCCTCATTACTCCTTTATTTTAAAACTTTATTTTTAGATTTATTTACTATATATGTAACGAGAGTTTTGCCTGAATGTGTGTAAGTGTGCTACATACATGCCTGGGGTCCATGGCGGGGGCAGGGAGGGGGTAGAAGCAGGTGTTGGATCCCCTGGAACTGGAGTTACAGATGGTTGTGAGCCCCACCGTGTGGGTGCTGGGAACTGAACTTAGGTCCTTTGCAACAGCAACAACAGCTCCAAACTACTGAGCCATCTTTCCATCCCCATTTCCTGTTTTTAATCATCGCAATTCATTGCTGTTCTAGTTTCATTTCTGTTGGTTGATAAAAATATCCTGACAGTAGGCGTCTTAAGGGAGAAAGAAGTCAATTTCCACTTACAGGCCTGAGTTATAGTCTGCCACTATGGTCAAGCCCCAGTGGCAGGAGCTCGAGACAACCATATCACATCCACATAGAAGACCAGAGGGGGAATAATGCATGTGTGCAGGCTTCCTTGCTTGTGCTCAGCTCCATTTCCCCACTCGTATAATAGTACTTAGGGAATGGTACAGCTTGGTCTTCCCAAATCAGTTCATTTAACTAATACAATCTCCATAGACATGACCTCAGACCAATCCAGTGTAGACAGTCCCTCAATGAAACTGTCTTCCCATGTTATTCCAGGTTATGTCAAGTTGTTTATTAAAACTAACCATCACAATTGCCCTCTCACCATCCCCTGAACAAATGCGGTGAATAAATGAAGTGCCCTCTCCACCAAACCTGCTAAAATGGTCCCCTGCCCTAGTATCTTTAATAATAACAAACATATGGTAGAAATTTTCAGCATTCTATATGGATGTCTTTTGCCACCACTAAGCTTTCCCACAGACAAACTGTAAGTAGAAAGGCTCAATAAAACTTTACTGATACAATCAAGCAGTGGGCTACATTTGGCCCTCAGGGTTGTTTTCCAACTCCTGGCTCAATTGTGTTTTCTAAATCTTAGTTTTATATGTTGGCTGTGGGAAACTCAGGATGGAAGAGTGTGGACAGGGATAAAATCTAGGTCGAATGGAACTGAACAGAAAAAGGGAGAGGGCTGGATGGCCAGAGCAGACTCTTGACGCCATGTCCTCTTTGGCTTCATCATAGAGAAGGACAAACATTCGTACTCCAGCACCTGAGTGGGCCCATTGAGATCTGTAGTCACTCAGGAGAAAGGGGAGATGGGATACAGTGAGAGATCCTAGCTGGCAATGGTGTGTGTCCCTTACAGATGTCAACGAGTGTGAAAATCCTGCAAACTGCATCAATGGCCTGTGTGTTAACACCCCTGGCAGCTACCTCTGCAGCTGCCCCCAGGACTTTCAGCTTAACCCCAGTGGAGTGGGCTGTGTTGGTGAGTGCACACCTGGCAGCAGCTGGGGAACTCCAGAGTCAATATTGCTGACAGGGCTATGGCCTGGATCATCCTGGGTGTTAACTTGTGAAGATCTTCCTGCTCCTGACAGGCAGGGCAACTGTGGGCTGGGAAGTAGTCATCTGTTGTGATATTGCCTTCTGGTTTAGACACACATGGTCACATGCACACATAATTTTACACACATGCATACCTTCCCTGCTCAGTCAGGAATATTCAACCACTACATACAAACATGTAGGTATATATGGAGGCATATACAGTTACATATAGAAATATATGGTTCTAGTCAAAGGACAACAGCCAACGTAGTTACATACAAAAAAACTACACAGAGTGGGTCAGACAACCATACACAGACATGCAATTATACACATACATGGTCACACACAGAAAAAAAACACTGAGGCATACACAATTACCATAGACATACTAGCAGAGACAATGTTCAGATACATGATATATGTAGTTTCTCAGAAAACAACAGTTACCCACAAAGAAACACAACCACATGCAGACACAGTTGCACACAGAAATAGCAGCTGCATAAACAGAGGCACACACACATACACAATTACAGTCAGAGACAACATCTATACACATATACACAGTTAAAGGCAAGTCACACGTGGTATATATAAACACACAGCTACCCAGATCCAGGTAGACCCAGAGACAACCAATACACACATAGAAACATATTTCTATACACACACACATACAATTACATGTATAGTCAGAGACAACATTTACATACACACATGCATACAGTTACATAAGGATCAAATTGCAAATAGAAAAACACACTTAACTACAGATACATAGACACAGAAAGAGATTATTGTAACACAGATAAATAGTAATATATAGACACTCAGTCACACACAGAAAGGTAATTGCACACACAATTACACAGAAACCTGTAGTTAAAAAAAATTACACATAGATATACTTAGATACAGAGAAACACTATTATACATAAATTTGTAACACAGAGAGAGCTACATAGTAACACAGTAACAGCCAGTGGCAAGTTACACAAAGAGGAACACACTTAAACACAGACAAATAGATACAGAGACAGCCAGTAATGCACATAGAAATTTTGTAACAGACACACAAATGTACACATACACAGAAATGTATTTATATACAATACAGTTATACACAAAGACAAGTTACATGCAGAAAAACACACTGACGCAATATAAAGTTACACACAGAGAAACTCAGTTACACATAGCACATGCACAAATTCATAGTTACAGACATAACTAGACATAAATGCTCACAGTTACACACAGATACAGTTACAATCAGAGATGGTAATTACACACATGTATACACATAGCACATGGCACATACAAACTCACACACAGTTTTACACAGCCAGACACACAGAACAGAGAGGCCACAGTTACACACTCAGGAGAACACACACATGCAACCAGGAAGTCGTAGAAGTCAAGGTAACACAGTTTTCCAAGTGCTAACAACTCATTTTTTTTTTATTAATTCAAGTTAGGGAACAGGCTTGTTTCACATGTAA